ACATAAACATAGTTAATAGATTAGTATTTACTATTTTAAATTTTGCATATTTGATTTGATAATAGTTTAGAAATTTAATTTTGATTACATCTCAACAATTGAAATTAGTGACATTGATTTCAATTGACTTTCGGTGAATTTCATAGTAAATTTGATATTTCCAATTTAAACATTCCCTTAGGATCGATACTTGAGGCTTAAATAGAAAGTTCATTATTACTTGATAATGATACGTATACTTACGTAGAATCCGAATATTAATTGAATATATTTAATTAAATTTTACACAATCTATCGCAACAAAAAAGTCGGATCACCGCACATTTATCTTCTATTCCAGGAAACACTGTTTGGTTTATATGAATGGCCACAAATCAGTCAGAATATGATGATAAGAGAATGTCTACTCAATATGTTGTAAACAATTCTATGACATTCTTATTGATCAAGTACAAGAAATTTCCTAATGTCTGTAAGGATCAAGTAACATGTATTACATAGAAACCCAGCCTTCAGCCTTCAAAATACAAAGGCTCCTTAACAGAACAACCCCCCCCCCCCCCCCACTAGAGTAGTTAATAAAGTTGGTAATTTACTTCAGGAAGATGCAGGAATTGGTGGTGTGATCAAGGACCAGTGTGGCAAGTGTCTGCCCTACTTCCAGTCCCCAATCTTAGCATAACATGCACTTGAAGCTGAAGCAATTGTTGTCTATTAGGCATTAAGGATTGCATTGTGTGGAAGCTGGCAATATCTTCATGTTAAATCAGACTCTTAATTGCTACTACATCTATTGAACAACTAGGTAGAGATTTCTTGACACCTTATACACGGGATCAGCATAATTAAATCGTTAGATACATACATTAGTACAATCTACTCTTTTATTCCCAGGTAAGGGAGTAGACAAGCAAATTGGCTTGCTAGAATGGGAAACTTGACTGATGATTTTGTAATTAGAAAATTCCCAAACCCTCTTTATTTACTTTTGCTAGGGGAAAACATGGACATCCCTTATCTAAGATTCTTGTAACACCCTTTTGATCAATGAATTTCTTAGAGGAGAAACATCAACGCCAAACTCAATGCATTATTGAAAGGATCCTCAAAATAAAATTTAAAGGCAAAATGAAAAACAGTTTTAACTTTCCTAACAATCAATAATTATCACACAAAAAAAACAGGATTCAAAATTACTACATGAACTAAAGTTTAAACTTTAAGATGCAAAAAAACAAATTACTCTGCCATGCTATCAGAATTGTGATCATCTTCATCACTGATTGCAAGCTCAGCAATCAACTCATCTATTGGAATAGAAGGAAGCTCATCTCCTCCAACAGTAGAAGTCATCTCTGAAGGTTGATAATCATTGTCGCGATAGAGTGAAATGTTAAACCTCAATTCTGGGTTCTCCTCTAACTCCCTCAAGAAAACCTCATAATCATCAGTCCTCTTCTCCTCATCCATTTTCCCTTTGGTGTAGTCAATCTCTATGTTCAAGCTCTTCAGCTTCCAAGAACGACCCTTTCCACGCTTCTTTTGCCGCTTTTCTTCATAGCTTTTCTTCACAAGAATCACATTAGGTAAATCAAGTCCTTTATACTTGTCGATCTCAAAATCATTTATATTGGCTCCATAAAGATCGTATCCAAGTGCATAATCTCCTGTATTCAAAAGATGCCCAATATGTGTCTTCACAGTGAATATATTATCATTCTTCCCGAAATCAGAAACCCTTGCCACTTGCACATAAGCCAATGCATACTTTGATCCCCCAACAGCCATCTCTGAGGACTCCATCTCTATATCCAATACAATATACTCAACAAGTTGCCGACTTGAAAGCAGGGCCTTAAAGGGTGATCCCCAGTATTGTTTTGCATCAAGGAAAACAGTTCTTAGGGTGAATGGATTTAATAAGGTGATGCTACTACTCACCTTGGTGCAGAGAACAAGTGGACCAATGTTACCGAGAGTGTTTGCAACCTTGGGTGGGAGGCAGATCAAGTCTTCCCTACAAATGGGGCAGATCTCAACAGAAAAGGTATGCTTGTAGTTGTACGTGTTGCTCTTGGTATCATGGGATACCAGCTGCTTATCACACCTTGACTGAACAGGAACAGAGCTGGAGATGAAATCAACGAACTTGATGGCATGGCTACGATTTCCAAAGAAGAAATCGATACCACGATCAGCCTCTTTGATGCGGAGAGTTCGCGCTGCTGCGCCATGATGAAGGATCAGTTGCTCCAGATGGAAAAAGGAACGACGGTGGGAGACATGCTGGCGGAGTTGAACTGCGGCAACCCACTGGTCAGGATTGGCTTGGGAGCGGGAACATGACTCGCAGAGGTTATCGTGCTGCGTGAATTCAATGAGGTGGGATTGCTCTAGGATGGCGCCATTGAGGGCCTCTCTCTGGACTCGGAGGCGGAGCTTAATGCGCTTGGAGTGGGGCTCGGTCCACACAAACTCAGCGTTGACGATGCGAAAATGGCGGGTGAGGGGTTTGAGGCGGCGAAGGCAGAACGAGAGGAGCTCTTTGGATTCAAGATCAGCGCGAATCCAGGTGCGCGGGGGTTGCAAGTAGCTGCGACACTCGGGGCAATAGACGAGGGAAGCGTGGCGTGGGAGGCCTTCAGTGATGTCTACCCGGGAGCGGAGACAGCGGACGCACATGTTTGCTGGATTTGGCGATATGGGGACGCCGCAGATGCAACAGAGGACGGTACCTACCGTTTGAGACGGTAGGAACATGCCTGAAGCCGCCAGATCCGACATCTTGCTCAACGGATTCTGGCAATGGATTCTGGTAGGAGAAGTGCAGAAGTTGGGGGTCTCTGTACGCCGCTACCTCTTCGTGGCCTTCCCAGCTAGCTCTAATCGCCAAAGCGAGGGTTTTGGGGGTTTTCGGCGCCGCGATCTCTTCGCTGTGGCCTTCCCAGCTAGCTCTAATCGCCAAAGCGAGGGTTTTGGGGGTTTTCGGCGCCGCGATCTCTTCGCTGTGGCCTTCCCAGCTAGCTCTAATCGCCAAAGCGAGGGTTTTGGGGGTTTTCGGCGCCGCGATCTCTTCGCTGTGGCCTTCCCAGCTAGCTCTAATCGCCAAAGCGAGGGTTTTGGGGGTTTTCGGCGCCGCGATCTCTTCGCTGTGGCCTTCCCAGCTATACATTGAGTGCTACCTTGAAGATCCTTTTATCAAAATCCTAGCTCATGATGGAAGGGGGCCTTTGCTACTCATGAAGCTACATTTCAAAACATTATGAACTTGGGAAAGTCATATAAGAGAAGTTGGTGTTGATATAAATTGAAATTGGGTTTCTTTACAGTTTTAACTGGATGATAAAATCTATTGTTTGTCTATTAAGACATGTTTCAATACAACTTACAATGCTCTATTGATACAATTGGAATCAACACAATCTTGATGGCTATACATGCCTGTTTTTTGCTACTGATTGGATATGATCAAATACACACACACACACACACACACACACACACACACACACACACACATATATATATATATATATACACACACACACGCACACACACTCGTTTCAATGGTTTCCCGGGTGGCACTCTCAACGCACCTTTGATCTTCTTCATAGAGCTGGTAATCTCTTCCTAGTGGTTCTCTGGCCACTATTTTAATTTTGGGTTAGTGATTAAGTTGGTGGAGTTGGAGCTTTTAGTTTTTGATAGTTTTATATAAGAAGCGACTCTCGAGTACTATTCCATTGGGTCACTTTTACATTTCTTTTCTCAAAAGGACTTCTCTTTATCCAACTACAGAATGTTAATAGAGTTAAAAATATATCCTTCGCTGAGATTGTTGCTAATATTAATGGCCTACAAGGTACTTTAACTAATAATTTGTTGTTTCCACAACACTACCATGATGCATTTGATGACAAGGGATCATGCAGCTTTGTTAAGAAGGCTAACAAAAAGAGAGGTAAACTAGCACTTTTCATTACTAAATATAAAGTATCAAGTTTGGTGGAGCTTGCAAATTCACTTAGAAGGAAAATTTCACTTAGGTCATCCAAATTGAATTAGTAAGAAAATCATTTGGAGAAATGAAGCTTGTGGGTGAATGGAAGGTTGGTTTAATTGATGATAGACATGTATGATCCAACATGCCAACGAAGAAGACTACGCTAAGGTGTTCTCTAAAAATATATAAAAATTAATCGAAGATATATGAAATTATTGAAATGGTCCATTGTGTTTAACCCAAATCAAGAAGCTCCTATAGTCCCCATCTGATTTAAATTACCTAGTCTAAAACTCCACCTTTTCAACCATGGAATCTAATTCTCACTTGGTGCTATCATTGGTAGACCTATGAAGTTAGATGTTCCTACACTCAACCTAACCAAACCATCAGCTGCCAGAATTATTGTGGAAAGAGATTTTACACTCCTAAAGGTGGAGGAGATTTGGATTGGTATAGCACACAATGTGTATTGGTATCCTGTGGTGATGGAACAAACTTCAAACCAAACATTTGGAAACTATGAAATGTGTGGTCATACAACAAAAAAATATTTCAGATTACATCCTGAACTAAAGCCCCACTCTCCAATTCATTTAGATGCTTTGTAAGAACCACTTCAAACCAAAGATAATACAGTGATGCCCCCTTTGACTCAAGTGGTGCAACATCAAGGAAAGTTGGAAGAGAGGAAATTGTTCATACTGTTATGGTAGAAGATTAGATAGAGGAAGGACCTATTCATTTACAAAACCAAACTCATAATAGAGAAGAGAAAATAGCAAATGAAAACAATGAAACTCAATGTTGGAACAAGCTATAGTTAATGAAGCCCCATTACTAACCATTTATTCCAGTGTGGCTGAAACAGTAGTACCGATAATGGATGAGAACTTAATCACACATATAAGATAATTAATGGAGGAAGAATGGGAAATACAGAAAAGTAGAAGAAAAAAGGCAGCTTGGAACTAAGACATTTGTTGGAAGATCATAACAACATTGCTGGAGGCTCATCACAAAATCAGAAGGCTGGCTCTCTATCTAGGATAACTATAGCTCAAAAAACCTTACATCATGATTAAAATATTGTGTTGGAATATTAGGGGAATGGCAAATCCTGATTCCTTTAATAGACTCCTTATCCTTAGTAGGATTCACAAATTTTGTTGTCTAGCTATATTGGAACCATGAATTACCAAAAAAAAAAAAAAAGGATTATCAGAAAATTTTTGGGATTTCAACATTTTACCAATGTCAGTGGGAAGATATGACTAATGAGGAGAAAAGAAGCAACATGGAAAGCATTGATAGACCATCCTCAATCTTTACACATGGACATAAAATATGATTGTTGACCTCATTTTTGGTAGATGTTTAGTTTTTTTTTTTCTCTTTAGTAGCTTAGGGTTTAGCCATAGGACTTTTCCTGTTGACTATTCCTAGAAAACTAGACTTGGAACTCTCACCATTAGAAATTCTACCCTCTTCTTTACTCAACCTGGAGTTCCACATATTGCTCTCAACCTCTATGTACTTAGTAGGTGGGGTCACTGTGGGGGAAACTCAGGATGAGTCACCCTTAGGATTGCTGGACCTTAGGGTTGACCTTGGGTGTTGGTTTGGAGCTAAGGCACTCACTACACTTATCTACAACCCTGAACTCAAATTTCTAGCCTAGATCCCTTGATCTTTTGGGATACTCATGTAGATGGTCCCCTAAATCTACTAGTCTTAGGGTTGTGGTTTAGCTAAGACCACTATGTAGAGGACCCAAAATGGGGTTTCCTTTGGTCCATGGCTTACCGGTGATGATTGGCACCCCAAATTACCAAAATACCCCTCCATAGCTCAAAATCCCAAAAATTCCAAAAATTCCCTGAAAATCCCAATAAACCCCAAATATTCTCAATTTCATTTCTCTCAACTACCATATGACCCAATTTGGCCAATTTGACCATCTTTGACCAAAACCCCCAAATTGCTCTTTAAAGATCCAAATTTCCCCAAATCTAACTCAAATGTCCACCAATTTGATCTCAATTGACCTCAATTCCAATACTAGACTCAAACTCACTTTTGATGTGACCAAACTAAGGCTCAATTGGTCCATGATTTGAGCCCAATTTTGATTTGGGCCAAAACCCCAATTTTGACCATATGACTTAATCTCACCAATTTAAACCCATAGCCTAGTCAATTGGCCTCAATTAATGTTAAAAAAATTTTATAACATTTTTATACATCAAACTCAACCATCAATTGACATTGGTGAAGCCTCAAATCCATTTGATTTTGGTCTAAATCCAAAATTCCCAAATTTAGCCCCAAATTGGCTAAGTCCCCAAATTTCACCCAATTCATTTCCTTACCC